CGGTCCCTTCCTCTTGGATGACGCCGTCGGTTTACCTTTTGAGTCGACAGACGTCGACGACGCGTTTGCCTCGGCCCGCACCCGTGATACGGATCGAGAATCTGATGATGTCCGCGGGGAGCCGGAGGGGACTTGTAATGAAGGCAGCACGAGCTTCTTTTGCTTGGAGGCCGGGAGGATCTCGTCCAGGTCGACCGGCACGCCTAGGGAGACGAGAAAGAGACGGCGGATTCGCGAGCGGATCCAATCTGGGGGAGCCAGCGGCGGAGGTGCCACCAGCTGCGACCACAGTGACGCACTACGCGGTGTAATGAAGATGGGGTTTTCTTTCGTTAACGGTGGCGGGGAGCTGACGTCTAAGCTCTCTGGGGGAAAGAGGGTGTTGAGGTATGGGTCGACGGCTTGTAGGACGTCTTCGCCGTCCAAGCCGTCAAAGTCTGGTATATCCTGGATTGAGGTGTTAGAACAGTCAAACGAACTTGGAATAGCAATGTGCTTACGAAAGGCAGTGCTGGTACTTGTGGTAAGCTGGGCGTTGGAGCCGGAGCTGGAGCTTGGAACTCGGGTTCTTGGAATCCATCTTCAAAGTCGTCAAAGTCACCGTCGGCCTCAGCACCCTCTTCAAAGTCGTCGAAATCGTCACCAAAGTCATCATCATCCTCGTCTCCGCCTTCAGCGTCCTCTCCTTCCTCGTCATCGTTGTCAGCTGCATCGGGAGGAGGCGCAAGGCCGGCGCTGGACGGACCAGACGAGAGTGCCGTTTTGGAGGGTTGCCGCTTTATACGAGGCGAGCTTGGTGTTGATAGCGCAGGTGATACAGGGGGGAGATCTACGAAGAATGACGCCAGGTCAACGACAAAATGCTCTTTGAATTTCAGGGATCTCTACATCGTACCGGAACTGCCACCCTCTTCAGTCTCGCCGTCAGGCTTGACAATCAAGTCGGCTGGGGCATCTGCCTTGCGCTTCTCCAAAAACTCCTCTGAGTGCGGCCCTGAATCGCCCGGGGCCTCCTCGACGACAGTCTTGGGAATGACTGGCGACTTGGGCGCACTGTCTGCCGTCGACGACGCCTCGCTGCTGTTCTTCTCCTGGATAGCAATCTCGTCCGGCTCAGCATCACCCTCCCTCAAGCGGTACGCCTCTGTTCCGGGGACCTCGCCGTACGACGGTTCATCGTCGACTTTCTCTACGCGGGTTTTGGGAATCGGAGACGTTCCGGGGCTGAGGGGAGCGGATTGCGCATCGGAGAAGTGGTCTTCTGAGTCGGAGGCGTTGGCTGCAGATTGTTAGACAAAAACGGCTGCACGATCATCAAGGGAGACATTGACAAGGGGTGGGGTTTGCTTACCCAGATCGTGTGCGCCAGGGTCGCTAGTTCCAGACCGTTTCGGCGGTGAAAGAGCCTCGTCGTCTGACATGATTCCGTTGTGAGCCCAATTGAGAGCTGTAGGAATAATAGGGCAATGTATCTTGAGGTTACAACAAGCTGAGGCAGCTTAGGGAGTTATCGATGGTGGGAGAGAATAGGAGCGGGCAGTGGAGGGGGAGCCTGTCGATTAGCGGATACGTAATTGTGTGGGCCGAATAGGTATAAGTAGGTAGCAACTAGCAAGAACGATATCCCCAAATCGATGATTTGAGGGCAACCGCAACTTTTGAAGGAGTCAAGCTTAGGCAAGGGCTTGTTGACACAAAGACGACGAGAAAGAATGGAAGCGACTTTCAGGCTCTTGGGCTGGGTGGCATAAGAAAAGCAGGCTCGCAGACGGTACCTATCAAGGCTCAAGCACCTCTTGCAGCTTCTAGACTCGCCCGCCAAGCATCACGTGGGGCACACCCCGGTTAATTTCGCGCTAGCACTTGATAGGCAGCCTGTCCCTGGTCCTGGGTCTTTGGGCAGGTGCAGCGCGCCAGTCGCGTGGAGGCAAGGCCTGAAAGGCTGGAGCATCACAAAAAAAAAGCTGTCAACCATCAACACCAGTTGCAGCTCCCCCCAACAGCCGGTAGCAACCACACGTCGCAACGAGTCAGCGCATATCTACGAGCCAGATACGATTGCTTCATCGACGAACAACAGAGCTTTAGGGGGTCGATTCGCACCTCAATGCGACGACACTGAACCGAACGAAACACGATTGTCCAGACATCAGCTTGTTGTCACTAGCTCGCACATAGCTTGCGAGACTCCGTTAGGCTTCATCTCGACAGGCCCCAATCGATTCACGAATCTTCCACACAATGTCATTCAGCTTTGGTAACACAGCTACGCCGACGTCGAACAGCGGCTCGACCCCGGCAACCTCTGCGCCCGCATCTGGAGGTCTCTTCGGCGGCGCTGCTGCCTCCAGCGGCACTCCCAGCTTTTCCTTCGGCAACCTAGGATCTGGAGGAGCGGCAGCTGGATCGACCGCCAGCACACCGGCTTCAGGCGGAGGTCTCTTCGGACAGAACACTGCACAGAAACCAGCAGGCGGACTCTTTGGCGGTGGCACGCCGGCCGCTGCTGCAGGAACGCCTGGATCGGCTGGAGGAGGTCTCTTTGGCGCCAAGCCCGCTGCCGGTGCTTCTTCGACTCCCGCATCTGGCGGCTTGTTTGGAGGAGCCGGTGCTTCTACACCTAGCACATCCACGCCTACTGGAGGGCTCTTTGGTGGCGGTGCCGCTGCCTCGACCGGCACACCGGCCGCATCGTCAGGAGGTCTTTTTGGAGGAGGTGCGGCGGCGAAGCCAGCTGGAGGTCTCTTCGGCGGTGGAAACACTGCCAGTCCTGCTCCCACTGGAGGCTTGTTCGGTCAGAATGCCGCAGCGGGCGCGTCGACCACACCCGCTCCTGCCGCAGCTGGAGGCCTGTTTGGTAACAAGGCCGCCTCAAGCACACCCGCCGGTGCTCCAGCAACCCAGGCCACTCCCGCAAAGCCTATGTTCTCTCTAGGAGGATCTACCACACCAGCCGGAGCTCCGCCTGCTGACAAGAAGCCAGCTACTGGAGGCTTGTTTGGAGCTGCTGCGGCGTCTGGATCTGCTGCGGCCGGCGCCGCACCGGCTACGGCTGCTTCGACGGCCAAACCTCCCGCCAGCGGTGGCCTCTTTGGTGGTGCGGCTCAGTCCCAGGTTGCATCTACAGCGCAGCCAGCCAGTGCCGGTGGTCTTTTCGGCGGTCAAACACCACAGCAGCCTGCTGCGGCCGGTGGTCTATTCGGAGGCTCAAAACCTGCTGCTGCCGCCGCTCCTAGCTCCGGTGGTCTTTTCGGCCAAGGCGCTGCCACCGCTACCTCAGCACAGCCGGCTTCCACTTCTGCCGCTGCTCCCGCTGCCGGCGGTGGACTCTTTGGCGGCGCAAAGCCTGCCACTCCTACAACCTCAACACCAGCTGCGGCCCCCGCCGGTGGTCTGTTTGGCGGCAACACATCTTCGACGCCAGCAGCTGCCACGACACAGGCTGGCGCAAGTACTGGAGGTCTGTTTGGCGGCGCGAAGCCTGCTGCACCCTCAGCCTCTACTCCCACCACCGCAGCGGCACCTTCGTCGCTGTTTGGTGGTGCGGCCGCAGCTACACCTGCGAGCAAGCCTGCGAGCGGAGGACTCTTTGGAGCTACACCTGCAGCTGGCACCTCTCAGCCAGCTTCTACCCCTGCGGCGACTGCGACTACCGCCGCTACAACCACATCAGCTGCCGCGCCCAGCACAACGGCTGCAGCTGGTGGTCTTTTCGGAGCTAAGCCAGCAGCTACCCCGGCAGCTGGAACATCAGCTCAGAATGGCACTACGCCCGCCACCACATCTGCCACAACCGGCAACTCAAATACCCTCGCTGCCTCCACCACTGGCCCCACGTCCCAGCTTCCTCGCCTGAAGAACAAGTCCATGGACGACATCATCACACGGTGGGCTTCTGATTTGTCCAAATACCAGAAGGACTTCAAGCACTACGCCAACCAGGTCGCCGACTGGGATCTGGGCCTGGTCGACAACGGCGAGAAGATTCAGAAGCTCTACCTCAACACCTTCGAGGCCGAGAAGGCGAGTCACGAGATTGAGCGCCAACTTCAAGCCGTCGAGAGCCAGCAGGATGAACTTGAGGACTGGCTGAACCGTTACGAGGCCGACGTCAAGGAGATGTTCTCCCGCCAGATGGGACAGGGCGAGACCCTTGCCGGACCCGACCAGGAGCGCGAGCGGACATACAAGCTTGCCGAGAAGCTCACACAGAACCTTGACGAGAAGAGTAGAGACCTGTCGAAGATGGTTAAGGAGATCAACGACATTTCTGGTACTCTTAGCAAGGGTACCAAGCCTGAGGATCCCGTAAGTGATATTGATTTTTCCCCACATGTTGCACCTGCAAAGCTGACCTTCTCATCTACAGTTGAGCCAGATTGTTCGCGTTCTCAATGGTCATCTCGGCCAGCTCCAATGGATCGACTCCAACGCCGCATCTCTGCAGGCCAAGGTCTCATCCGCGCAGAAGGCGAACAACAACCTGGGAAGCCAATACGGAGCGCCGGAGAACGACGCTGCAGAGAGCTTTTACCGATCTTACATGGGCCGGCGTTGATGAAGGTCAGGACACACGGTAAAGGGTTCGTGCAGAGTTTGGTTTTTTTTGCTAGGCAGCATAGGTTACGAGAGACAAGGGGCTAGGACATGCAACAATGAAAGACAACTCGGAATCTCGGGGGTTGGTTGTCATTAATCGCTCAATTTGAGGTGGTCTTTCTTGAACAGAGATGGGTCGCTTAGCAACAGTTGAGTTGGATGGATTCGGCACCGCAAAGGTGGTAATGCATTGAGCAACACAAAGAGTACGTTGTACAGTAGCATAGAACTTGTGGGTGAATACCAGGTGTTTGTTTCTTGAATGGTTTACATGAGATTGAAAAGCTTCAAAATTCAGACGTTTGCTCGCGTTTACGCGGACCATCATCAGTCTCTGCTTTCCCCTTTCAGATTTAGTACATTTGTCCGGCTTTCCCTGAGCCAATCCTCTCCATTTGGTATTATCGCTTTGAAAAGACCTCCTCCGTGAAGCGGGGGGGAAATTGCATCTTTATGATTTTGAATTTAGTTGTGCTCGCCACCCTGGTTTTTGGTGATCTCGTCACTGTTTTGGGTGCCGTTGTTAGCAAATGTACAAAGTCGACGTCATTGCACGCGGATGGGGCGGGTTTGGAAGGGGGAAAAGGTGGAAAGGCGTGGAAGGATGAAAGGTGGTGGACGAACATGTGGTCAGACAGCTGCTGGAGGTGGGCCTGCTGCTCGCTGAGCTTCTTCTTGAGCTCGAGGAGCTTCTCCTTCTCGCGCTGGCGGATGGCGTAGTCCTCGTTGGCCTTTTCGCGCTTCTGGAAGGCGTCACTGTGTTGGGCAAATTGTCAGCCTTTGTGCTCGTTTCCATTCTTTGGATCTGTTCGCTGTCGATTGCAGCCTCGCTTTTCGAACTGTCGATAATGACAATGGGTCATGGGAACGACTGCGTTTGTGCGGAAGGGGGCTGCGAGAGAGAGAGAGAGAGAGAGAGAGAGAGAGAGAGAGAGAGAGAGTGAGAGGAGGAGCGAAGACTTACCCGCCTCCGTACTTGGAGGGAGCTCCAGTGTCGCCCTCGCTCATGGTGCGAGCAGTGGTGCTGAAGCAAGCTCTCGAGGCGAGAGTGAGGGGGCGGGCCGCGGCCTTGGTAGCAGCGATGCGCATCATTTTGAAAGAAGTATCTAGAGGGTGCTCGAGGGGTTTTGGGGATTCCAATTGGAGGTGTTTATGTTTTTGTAGTGAAGCAAGTTGGCCGATGACGATGGTGCAAGTCGGACGGGTTTTGTGATAGGTTGGATTGTGGGGATCTGGGTGCTGGTAATGCCTGGAATAGCTCCTGCTCGGGGAAGGGGGGGCTACGCTGCTATGCTGCTTGGGAGCTTATTGGACGAGGAGGGGATGATCTGATCCTGTCAAACTACGGAGTGCCTGGTCACTTTCTTGGTCGGGGGAGGGAGCTTCTGCTTACTCCGGTCTGTCCTTCCTCACCCGACTATGGGGGTACGAGGATGTGATACGTCATACCCGGCGTGAGCGAGGTATCTCGTTAACATGGTCGTGCCGGCATTTCTCGGCTTCGACGGGTTTGGTTCACTGAACCGGAGAGCTGCGCTGAGGTTGCCTGAGTGTGCTTTCCTCAGGCCACTGAGTGGTGGTCACCTGCATGCGGCCAAATCGTCCTGACTCAATGTGCTTGCTGTACGCAGTACTCAAGATGGGCCAAGCAGTCGATGAAGCTTTGATGCAATTGTGAGCATCCGCATAATCCCGTCCTGACCAACACGCAACACAACAATTTGCCTCCATATTCTGGGCACCGTTTAACTATGCTAGACGCTATCCTTTTGCTGGGACTGAACTGCAAGAATCTATGAGCACCTACCAAGGGCTGCGAATTAGGCGTGTGGTGTTTTACCCGGTCTGCCGGTGTTGTTGCTCCGAGACGGCTTATGCATAAAATGGGACTCGCATATCTCCATTCCGATGATTCTCGTAGGTCCAGTATTCCACAGTGGGTTGCATTCTCCAGATATCCGTAAGCCCGTAGGTACTCCGTAGGTCGCAGCCTTATCAGCCCTTGTTGTTATCTCCGGCAAGGCTGAATCTCCTTTTTCGACTGGGATGGTCCCCGGGACTGTGGACGAGAAATGCGGGAGATCTGTCGCTTCAAAGGCGACCGACGGGGTGCCGGTGGTGTGTAGTCATCGTGGTGCGACGTCTTTCGTCTTTGTCTCGCAGCCCGAGGTACCATTTTAGTGGAGAGGAGAACGTCTGCCCTCTGCAGACCACAGAGAACCCATACGCCGTGTGTATAAGTGCTGCCTGGGCAAAACATGAGATGGCTTCATGGCTTCAGACTGCTAGTGAGGAAGAGGAAAGGATAGCCTCTTTCTTCCCAAATCTCGTGCCATCCCCTCTGCCAAGTCAGGCAACGGCAGCCGAGGAAACACACCTTCTTGGTTCAAGGGGTCCCGGCTACGAACAGCAGCATGCAACCTACATTGACGTGAAGTAAGATGTTTTGCTTTCAAAGACCTTGGGGTCAGGCAAGTCAATCCAATGTGACCAAACAACGGAACAAGTGCCTGAACTCAAAGGATGAATTGGGGCACGGTGGCCGCTCGGCGATTGCATGAAAAGAAGAGACGAGGTGGGATGAGAGAAGACAGGAGGAGTCTGGCCTCGCATCAACTTGCAGGTTGTATGATTTGAAAGCAAGTACGCAGTATGCATATGACCCAGGAGATCAAAACTCTGAGTCTGGTGGTAGAGTTTGGCCATGGAAAGCGAAGCAACAACAAACAAGGTGACGTGATCTGGGTGTAGCAAGGTCGGAGCTGGATAGGTAAGTAAGGGTCAGCGGCAGCGAACTGGTATACGAAGTTATCTTCTTGCAGGCCCTGGATCAAAACCAGGCTACTTGTGGCGAGGCATGTTAGATAGGGTATGCCTTGATCATATTTGTACCTGGATTCAAGGCCTTCCACAAGCAATGAGAGAGGAAGACCGCATTGAGCGAGGCCCGGTGTCCTGTGGAAAGAGCCCGGGGAATTGGACCCGAAGAGGGGAGCGGAAAGAGGTATGAGAATGTACCTCTGCGTACCCCCCACTATCTGTCGCAGAGTCAGGTTGGTAGCGTACCTAAGGCAGGCACGGAGAGTCTGGAGAGCCCTGGAGGCATTATGCGTACGTTTGGAAAGACTTTGGGGGCTCTGCCACTCTGGAGGGGTGCCTCTCTCAGCCGCAGAGCACAGCCGCAATACCTGACGCTACCCCGGGATGATTCACGTGAGCCGGCCATTCCAGGGCTAGCTCGCCGCAGATGGGGATTGGTTGAGACGCCCCTCGACCGTGACTGGCCAGAGCGTGGCTCACCAGCCCAGTGTGTCCCTGCCCAGTGCCCATGGAACCTGGCAGGAAGTCAACCACTCAAGTCGGCTCCCGTCCAGTCCAGTCGGTGCGGCAGCAGCCACCCCCCCCCCCTCCTGCCTACCTTACCTTACGTCTACCTACCGCCCCAGCGTGTTTCCCCCCCAGTCAGTCCAGTCGCCTTGCCTTGTCTTGCCTGGGCCACCTCACGTATTGTGCAGCCCAGAGCCCCTTCCTCAATTTCCATCCATCACCTTTTCGTCTCATCCATTTCTCAACTTCACAAAACTCTCGCACTACCTTTGCAAAACCGCCCACACCCGCCTCTATTTACCCTTCGTCACGCTCTCTTCCCCTGCTCCGATCCAACTCGAGTTTCGACACGGGAATCTTCCATTGACAACTTATCCATCGTTCCACTCGAACATCCCCGCCAACCTCAAAACATCGCACCAAGGTACGTGGTCCCCTCCCCCCATCCCCCCGTGCCCCCTCTGTCGTCATCGCATCCCTCGCCGCAATCTCCTTCCACCGATTCCCAACAACCGACTGTCACCGATTTGCGTCGACCGCTTCACGAAGCTGCCATCCGGCCATCTTTCTGCATCGATTGAGAGCTTCACCGACACTGCGCGCCCTATCTTGATCGGTCAGGCGCAAAACCCCACCAGGAGCGGGGGGCCGAAGCCAAGTCATGAAGTCAGCGAGGCGCATACGCTGCAACTCGTTCTTCTCTCGTTGAATTCACCCCGTCGCTCTTGCGAATTCAATTTGCGCTTCTATTTGCCAACCAGTCCAAAATTCACATTCATAATACACTTAGAACGCAATTTTGGCTTCATCTCCTGACACACGTGCTAACCAATCCCAACGTTCCAGATACCAACCGCCACAATGGGTCAGGATGATGCTGTGTACTTGGCCAAGCTTGCTGAGCAGGCTGAGCGCTACGAGGGTACGTGGCTATCTCTCATCGCACAAGATGGATTACACTGATGATTGGGCTTCCAGAGATGGTTGAGAACATGAAGATCGTCGCCTCCGAGGACCGTGACCTCACCGTCGAGGAGCGCAACCTCCTGTCCGTTGCCTACAAGAACGTCATCGGTGCCCGCCGTGCCTCGTGGAGAATCGTCACCTCCATCGAGCAGAAGGAGGAGTCCAAGGGCAACTCTTCCCAGGTTGGCCTTATCAAGGAGTACCGCCAGAAGATCGAGGCCGAGCTTGCCAAGATCTGCGACGACATTCTCGATGTCCTCGATGCCCACCTCATCCCTTCTGCCAAGTCTGGCGAGTCCAAGGTCTTCTACCACAAGATGTAAGCATTTGCGTCTGTTTCGGTTTTGGGACGATATGTTGACAACCACTGTAGGAAGGGTGACTACCACCGCTACCTTGCCGAGTTCGCCGTTGGCGATCGCCGCAAGGACTCTGCCGACAAGTCCCTCGAGGCCTACAAGGCTGCCACCGAGGTTGCCCAGACCGAGCTTCCCCCTACCCACCCCATTCGCCTCGGCCTCGCCCTGAACTTCTCCGTCTTCTACTACGAGATTCTGAACGCCCCCGACCAGGCTTGCCACCTTGCCAAGCAGGCTTTCGATGATGCCATTGCCGGTCCGTATCGTCATCCTCGAAGCAGGTGCAATCCACTAACGTCTCTACAGAGCTTGACACCCTTAGCGAGGAGTCTTACAAGGATTCTACCCTCATCATGCAGCTTCTCCGTGACAACCTGGTAAGTGACTCTGACCAACTCTGCAGAAGAAAAGCCGCTGACAACGAATATAGACCCTCTGGACCTCTTCTGAGGCTGAGCCCGCGGCGTCAGGCACCACCGAGGCCCCCGCCGCCGCCAAGGAGGAGGGTGCCTCCGCCGAGGCGCCGGCCGCTGCTGCCGCTGAGGAGCCCAAGGCTGAGTAAGGTGTGATTGGTCTCGTAGCATTCTGCAACCTGCGTTCATCGCCGGATTTGGGTGGACTGGTGTCTACGGAGTGTGGACTGGAGATTTCGTTTTTGCGAATCGGCATCGTTTAGGCAATACACAAGAATTGTGAAGGGGTTGATTTTTCCTAGCACGGGGCTGGCTGGGGGCTAAAGAAGAGCATTTTGGAGGTTGATTCCACGTTTGCTTTTTTAGACTCTAATGCAAGGCCGTCTGGACAACAACAAAAAAAGACTAAAATTGCTTTCAAAGAAGCACATCCGGCAAAACAGTTCGAAAAAATCGTGTGATACAGTTGTGTGGCACTGCCAGTAGTTCTGACCTGGTAATGGTGGGATGTTGTCTAAAGTGTTCTATACCAGTACAATTGGGTCGACAAAGGTGAAGTGGCTCGACATATTTGCATGTAGATGGACAACTTGGAGACGTCAATTCGACCATAGAAGGCCAAGAGCCCAGTCATACAGGCTGAAACTTAGGTATGAGTCTACAAACAGCTTGAAGCACAAGTCAGACTTATGGGGTGGGCTGGAGAGACGATTGCCAAAGACAGAAACGCTAGACATTGGAGGACGGCATGTTTTTGAGAAGAGGATCTTGAACGCTTAATATGCGTGATAGAAAGATAACGGCCACGGAGTTGAGATTGGCTGAGAAGAAGGCACTCATCATGATGCGGCGAGACAATTTGGCATGAGGGCGGCACACATCGCAAAGATCATCTAAGGGATCCGTTCGGTCGACACTTGTACACTCTCAAACATGAGAGTGAACGAGCCGACAAGATGGACATGGCCTCATTACAATTGGTTGGTAATCACGGCGTCTTTTCAGTTTTGTTTCGTGTTTTGATTCT